TCTGTAAGTGCTTTGAATCTTGTTCAGGCGTATATTTACGATTCAGAAATTAAAATGCTCTTATAAAACTGTTATTTTACGAGTGTTTGTCTTGGTGGTCCATTTGTTGTTGGTGTGGTAGGGTATACAAAACACTCCATCCATGCTCTCATTCAACTTACCAATTATTTGATCATCACTCCTCATTTTAGTCTTTCTCTTCCTTCCCCACTACTTTGTCATATGGCCAACCAACCAAAACGCATAAAAACGTGTGTGTTCGGTATGGAGAATGGGTTGAACGATGCTGGATTGGAGGGACGAAAATATAAGGTAGGAAGGTGGGAAAAAATACTGATGGTTTTATAGTTTTTATCTGACATGGTAGTTTAATATTTTACCAGTCTTGTTTATGGTCGTGATTTATGTGACATCTATTTTCGTGGGACATGAAAATACATTATTGTCCCATTTAAGTCATGTTTGTCTTAGTCTAATGTTGTGCCAAATATGGAAGAACAAGTTTTTATAATATTTTGAGGCTGTTTGGCAGTTGCTGAATGATTTGGTGCAGAATGATTAAGAGTCTTTCATGATATAATGCAAAATGAAATATAATTGTTTACAATGAAATCATGACGCTTAATGGTTAAGGGAGACCCATGATACAAAATCATTCAGAGGGTTTTAGAACCATTAAGAGGCAGATATTTTTTTTGCCAAACAAGATTCACCTCTTAACAATTCAGATGTTACCTATTAATGGAACTATTAAGAGGTAAACAAATAACCCTCTTGTTATCCTGAGCTGCATATCAAACACATATGTAAAGTTGCACATGGATCGATTCATAAGAAATATAGTCTAGTCAAAGTCTGGTCAATGCATTTCAGAATAAATCGAAACATACTGAACCTTGATTGGTGGTCTAGCATTGTTCAAAACAAGTCTAGTTCAAAAGCAATCTATTAGTCGTTTGGTATGGTCCCTTTAGAAAAAGGGTCGAGTTTTATCTGATTTGACTCAAAAATCTGGCATAAAAAATGACTCTGACTTTAGCTTGATCTAGACTGATGACATAAATGATTGGTCTTCATTTTGTTCGATCCGATTCAAATGCCAATATGTAAACTTGATTTTGTATTAAATTGTTTCTAAAACTTGATTCTACTATTTATAATCAGTTATGTTGGATTTCAGAGCCTTTAACCAGTTAATATGGATATATATATATATATATAGGGACGGCCAAGTATGTATTAGACTCAGAGAATCATGTTGAGTTGTTTTTAACTCGACAAATCTGAGTGCATCCAAATAATGGAGTCAATTTGATTGACAAATGCTCAAGCAAAAGAGGTCAACGTGTAAAATCATCAAAACTTGTGGTTTTGTTCGTTTTTGCCATGATTTTGTCGGTTTCGTTTCAAGTGTCGAAAAAGACGGTGTGACTTTTTATTTTATGTACTTGATGTGAAGAAGGATGAAAATTGATCCCAAAATCATAGATGAAAGGACATAATCTAAACAAAACTTTGTCGTGCTCGCAATGCCGAACTTACATGTAATTTTTTTAAATAAAAGTTCGACACTTAGAAAGTTTTACATTAAACTAAGGGGTCGTTTACCAAACACTTACCCGGTAAGCGCTTACCAGTAAAGTTCAACACTATCACTTACTTATCGGATGAGATTTTAGTCAACAAAAAGGGCATCGTATGCAACAATTTACCCCGTAAGCGCTAACAGTGGTAAGAGTCCTCGTCCTCACTTACCGCGTAAGGCTCTTTCTTGCCTTGCTCTTACCGGGTAAGATTATTGGTCCTTAACATATTCATCCGGTAAGTTAATATGACTTTTGTCAAAGACCTTCCAGCCTAGTGGTAAAGGCTTGGGCATGACATAGTCATGAACCCGAGTTCGAGCCCTAGGAGGGGAGTGTTGGCGACATTTAAGTGGGGCCGTGTTTAGCCTCCAAATTTGCCGGGAATTAGTCGGGCTTTGGCCCGGACACCCTTACAAAAAAGTTTCATACTTACAGTTAATATGACTTGGTAAGCGCTTACCCGAATAAGCGTTTGGTAAACGACCCATAAATAAAAGATACATAATTGTGTCAACAAACAATGATAAGTAAATAAAACGAAGTAAAAACCCATATAACATGACGTCATTATTTATATCCTCAGAACATCTCCAACAACTACGTTATTTCAAAAAATTTAAAAGATTTAGAGATTTTTTGCTTCAACAATTATGCTAAATTCTTTCTTTAAAGATAAATAAAATTAAAGAGAAAGGATAAATCTCAAAAATTTATTATTACAACTTCAAATTATATTAATTAAATAATCAATTTCAAAACACATATCCCAACATTCTTTTAATTAAAGTTAATTGTGAATAACTAAGATGCTGTTTTCAAAATGCTTAATTGGTAAGTGCTTATTCGATAAATTTTCTTATCGAATGAACATAATAAATGCCAAGAATCTTACCGGGTAAGAGCAATGAGGAGGATTGAGAGTCTTATCTAGTAAGTGAAGATGACGACTCTTACCCATGTAAGCGTTTACCCTGTAAATTGTCGCATTCGATACGTTTTGATGTATTAAAATCTTACGCATCAAAATTATATATAGTGTTGACTAATATCAATAAGCATCTATTATAAAATTTAAAAATGGTAATAATCGGTTAGTATAGAATCTTTTGGTTATAAACATGTTGTAATTGCATTGGAGACATAATTTATATGATTAAAATAGTAATTGACATTTGAAAGCGACTTTCTTGATAAGGAAAGAAAAAGTCTCAAATGGTTGCCAACATTCCAATGAACACTCGATTATGAAACCCTCATTTCAAATCGCACCCATTTCCAACATTCCTTTTTCCTTTTTCTATAAACCCATCATCGTTTCGACTCATTACGCTCTTTTTTTTTATAAATTAATATATGATTGTTTCATCTGATTTAGAATTTAGGGTCGGATTCATGTGAAATCGGTTTGTTTCCGTGACACTCGATTAACCACACGATAACAATCAACCTTCACAGTAAAACATTGTAAAGATACAGAAAATGCCGAACATTTACAGAAAAACACTGTGAAAGTTTACCTTTACAGTGTTTTGTTGTGATGATTCAGTGTTATTTCAGTAAGTGTGTGATGGATGCTCTGTATCTCGAATAATATTTTCTTGGGAAATTTGTCATGAGAAATTCAACATCGAATTTTAAGTGAACACGTTACACCGTTCATATTTGTAGCGAATATTAAGATAGAATATTTACAACAAAAATTTCAAAAGAAAGATTGGTTGAATTTTTATAAGAATCAAATAAGTCTTTTTCTAAAGTAAAAAGAGTTAGGGGACGTTTACCCAAATGTTTACCCGGTAAGCGTTTACCAATATTAGTTAACGCTATAATTTATTTTGATGCGTAAGATTTTAGTACATTAAAACATATCGAATGCAATAATTTACTGGGTAAGAGTCGTCATTCTCACTTACCGGGTAAGACTCTCCATCATTCTCATCGCTCTTATCCGGTAAGATTTTTGGCCTTTCTCATGTTCATTCGATGAGAAAATTTATGGCGTTAAGCACTTACCAAGTAAGTGTTTAGTAAACGGTCCATTAGAAAACATTTTTAAAGAGATGATTAACGTGATTTCAAGTAAGATTTATTTAAAATAATTTTAAAAAAATAAAAAATTCAAATATTTTTTAAACATAAAAAACCCCTAATTTTATTCATCGTCTTTTGAGTGAAACAGTCAAAAATAACATTCATCCAACTGCAAATTCATATAATTTGTATTCTTATTTAATAATTGTTATCATTATAAGTGATTTATTTGAGTGTGTGCAAACATTCATTCTATCCCTTATATAATTGAAGTGAATGTACTGTTGGTTGTACAGATGGTGGCTGTACTGCTAACTTATATGCAGCTCAACTAATCTCGTGGTCCTGAGTATAACAACCAGAAAAATTCCATTAGTGTCGAGAAGATTTTGTTCTACATTTAAGCAACAGATATAACTGGTCTCTCACCAAAGAATTTCATTAACATGTCGGGTTTTTTACTTTGTCTTTGATCTATGAGTCCTCTCTGACAAAAAACCTCGACGTCTACGTCAAATATCGTGCTTAAGATACTCTTGTTCATTTTGCTACAAAATTCTGGAGACTTGGATATCTTGAAACGTCTTTTTAATTTTTTTTAAGAAACTTTAGGATTTGATTTTCTCAAATCAGAAGGGTACTTGCACAATGCAGCGATACATCTCGATTTCAAATTTTCGTTTAATTATTTGTCTCTGTCGATATAATACAGTTTTATATGGTTTTGAGAAAATGATAATGATTTTATTTTTTGAATAAAATATAAATGTGATGGTATATAGAAATTTGAAAAAAATTATATCGATATTAATATCAATTAACTATTTAAAAGTTCTCATTTTTTTGTAATTTCTTTAATTCAATTTTTTATTATAATTTAATTTAGATTTAATAAAGAAATAATTTTATTTTGGTTTAATAATATAATTTTTTATAAAAATAATAATTAAGTGTGCTGTTAGAAACCAATAATTTTTCTAATTATATTTTTTTATATTTAAAATGAAATGTTTATCATGTATTTGATTATGTTTATCTATAGTTAGTTACACGAATAAAGCCATGAAGTTTTGATAAATTGTACTTACATACAATTTACTTATAATTTTGAATTTTAAGTAATTTACATCAATAAACAATATTTCATACATAAAAAATAATTTTTAAAATTTGTTGTCAAATGTTTTATGTTACGGTATAAATAAGAATGAACCCTGAATTCAATCAAATGTTTTTATATGTGTGGGTTTCTAATTTAGATCATTTGGATGGATCCAGACCTAAACGAGCCCAAACCTACACCGATCAGGCTCATAGGGCCCAGGCCCAACTTATTGGATCAAACCAGCCGCCACTGTCCACCGTACTGGAGCATAACTGACTGCAATTCGGTGAGAAGGTTCAATCTTCACGCTTCCCAATTCAGTCATGATCAATAATTGAATTGGCAGTTTGGGTATAAAAAATTGGAGGATAAACCCCAATCTTCATCACACTTCCCAAAATTCAAGCAACCTTTTCGTCATCATCGTCGTTATCGTGTTGTTCTTTCTCATATCTACTCATTCAACTATAATATTACTCTCAATCTGTTGGTGTGTGCGAAAATCACTTGTTAAACTGAAAGCATTTGGTGATTTGAATTGCGTAATCAGATACGGAAAATATGCAGCAGCACGGCGGAGGAGATGCTAGTCAACGCATCGCTAGAATCTCAGCTCACCTAAATCCTAATAAATCGCAGGTTTTCCTTCTGAATCGATCCTCTGTTTTCGTAATTTTTTCTATTCGATTACGATCAAGATGTCGTGCTCATCTTTCTCCCTCAGTTTAAATAATGCTTAGACAACTTTATAGTTTTAAATTGTGGTAATTAGTTTTAAAGGGGTTTTACTTTTAGTGGTAAACATAGTGATCGTTAATTTTAAAATCGATTGCATTCTGTAGAATTCAGATTCTGGAAAAAGGTTTGATAAATGCACAAAATCTCAACGAACTGTACGTAGTCGGGTATTGTTGCGATTCTGAACTACATCTGTGAATTATGGATTTGAAAAATAGCAGTTTGACTACAAAAGTTAAAATGTACAACAGATGACACAGCAGCGAAATGAAAATTATTGATCAGATAACTGATTGGTTTGCTGTAAGGCCTTGCATTAATAATGCGATTCTTTTTTCGAACCTAGGCATGTTCAATTTTGAATGGAGGTTGCAGGTCCTCCATTTGTGTACCTTTTGAGTTCTGAATTGGTATTTTTGAAATTGTACGTATGTATGTAATCATGGTCTGAAGATGGAAGGGAGTCCCAGTTTGGAACGATCAACCTGCCGTGCGAAAGGTGGATCGCCTGGATTTAAAGTAGCTATATTGGGTGCAGCTGGTGGCATTGGTCAGCCACTTTCCATGTTGATGAAGATGAATCCGTTGGTGTCAGTTTTGCATCTTTATGATGTTGCCAATACTCCTGGTGTCACTTCTGATATCAGTCACATGGACACCAGTGCTGTGGTATGTCGCTTTATTTCAAAATTGTCTTAAAAAATTCCCAAATGCATCATATTAACTTATTTTAACACTTTACGTAGGACTTTACATTTTCTTTGGCTCTATAATTTAGTTATCTAAAGCAGTGTATTAGGGCATTTAGACATATTTTACTTCCTATAAAACCACCAATTTTGTTGTAGTAAGAGCTTCTTGCATGATGTAAAACATCATAGACCCATTATAAAAGCAATACACATCCTAATTTTATAAACAATTATATTGATATATCCATTGATAAGATTTGTGTTGGAATTTAGGTGCGTGGTTTTCTTGGGCCGCAGCAATTAGAGAATGCACTTACGGGCATGGATCTTGTTATCATTCCGGCAGGCGTCCCTAGAAAACCAGGAATGACAAGGGATGATCTGTTTAATATCAATGCAGGAATTGTTAAGACCCTCTGTGAAGGAATTGCCAAGTGCTGTCCAAAGGCTATTGTCAACGTGATTAGCAATCCTGTGAATTCTACAGTTCCGATTGCTGCGGAGGTTTTCAAGAAAGCTGGCACATATGATCCACGCAGACTCTTAGGAGTTACAATGCTTGATGTTGTCAGAGCTAATACTTTTGTGGTATGTGTAGTTTGGATATCTTATTCGTGTTTCTACTCTATATGTGGAAGTATGAGATGACTACTAGAGTACTGGTATGCAGAAATTGGGGTACTAGAACAAAATACTCTCCCCGTTTATGCCGGACATGATAGGACTGGATATAACAAAAACTTGTTGTTCCATGTTTGATGCGGCATTAGACTGGCACAGGAAACACATTTTTTTTATCCCAACAAAATAGGTGGAACAAAAATTTAGAAGATGAACAAAATTGGTAAATTACTAAACTACCAGTGTTAAACTAAAACCCTAAAACGTTACACATTTCTTTCAATTGCCTACCTCACTCTTGCCCGTCTAGTTCCTCTAGTTCAATTCCATTCTGTTTTATCCGGTTCTGTCCGCTTACCAAACACACTGAGCAATTTTGCTTCCAAGGTTGAACTAAATAAGGTTTCATATGTTGTTCGATTTCATTTCCTATTTCCTATCTATCTTTTGCATTAACTTTATCCATTATTCATTGAAGGCTGAAATTTTGGGACATGATCCAAGGGAAGTTGACGTTCCAGTGGTAGGGGGTCATGCTGGTGTTACCATTTTACCTCTTCTATCTCAGGTATTGAAGTTTATTTTTGTTCTCAAGTTATTTCTAGACTAATCTGAGTACCAGCCAACTACCTGATTAGGGGTATTAAAAATAACCGATGAACCGCAACAACCGACTGAACTGAACCCAACTGGACCGCGGTTGAGTGGTTTGGTTTGGTTTGAAAAATAGTCAAATCGGGTGGTTTGGTCGGCTCTGTAATTCATAATCGAACACTTAGACCAAACTTGCATAGACCGGTTAGACCAAACAGTTGTTTTTGTCGTCTGGGTTGGTAACTTCATTCCAAACTGCATGGTTTTAAATATTTTTGAACCGCCACCTGCAGTTTGGTTTGTTAAAACTTAAAAAGGGAAGTCCCAAACCAGACCGTGAACACCCCTATTATTGATAGTCGTCTCCTTCAAAAAATGGATCTTTTCTTGAATTTCCCTGCTTTGTTAAGATATGCTTCAAGGGTGTTTCTGTTTCTTCTTCTCCATGTCATATGATATGGGTTAAACTTAACTGGAGGTGTCCTTGAACATATTATTGTTAACGGAGCATATATACTCTATAATGTCTTGAGCTGCTGAGAGACTTTATCTATGGATGTTTTATACTTCAAATTTCTGTTACAGATTAAGCCTCCATGTTCTTTTACTTCAGAAGAAATTGCACACCTAACATCCCGTATTCAGAATGGTGGAACTGAAGTTGTTGAGGTAACAGCCTTTTGCTTTTGTACAGTCTTCAGTTTGGACATTCTTACCTATGTGTGATTATATAGCAAGATAAGTATTGTAACACTAAAAACTGGTGCCTTCTAGTCCATTAGCATGTCATGCACCCATCTAGAGGCCCAAGCCCATTCCCAAGTGATATTCTAGAATAGTTGAGAAGGGGTAATGTAGGTATTTCTTAGAATAAATATTAGTATACAGTGGGTGGTGCAGGGCATGCAGAAAATGAGTGTGTCTTCTTTAGGAGAGCTCTGGTCTCTCGAAAAGCCAGAAACTGTTCCTTTTGCTGTTAATTGAATCATCCAACAGTTGTTCTTGTCACTGGGTCTCTATTTATATTGTTCAACTGGTCCTGTTCATAACATAGTATCATTATTAAGAAAAGCTATTTCAGTTCATGCATCCAAGCCTATAGTATACTTTTTTTAAGTTGGGGATCAGTTTGAGGACGATATTTTAGGTTTTCTTGGGGTTTGTGTAAATGCCTGATATTGTCTGTGTGAGAACGTATGGAACCCCTTTGAATCTCCGCCTAAAAGAGCCAACATATAAATAGATTTGAATGTTTGTGTCTAGTCAAAGTGGACTCCAACATGCCCCCCTCAAATGGAGGTTACATGGTGCCCCAAGAATGGAGAGGGCGAAAGAGTGTGTCGAGTCCCTAGGTGGTGCTAAACCCTGGTTCTGATACCATGTGAGGATATGTGGATCCCCTTTGAATCTCTCTCTAAAAGAGCTCCTATAAAGAGAGAGAGAGAGGGGATAAGTTCCAACATATATAGAGGTTTGGTGGTCCATGTCTAGCTGATTTGGGACTCTAATATTCTACATCATCTATTAGCAATTTTTTGTCTCTAAACATACCAAGCAACTGATGTCATGTTCACCTTCATCCACCATGGATAAACAATGGACAGCTGCTTCCTCCCAAATGAAGCATCTTGTTTGTAGATGTGTATAGTTACATGCTTAATGTTCATGATTGCAATCTCAACTAGTCTCCTAAGTTTTAGTTCGTGTCTCCTCTGAGCCACTAGGAATTTTCCTGGCTGTTATCTTCAGGGCCTCATGGGATTGGTTGAGATGTGCGCAAGTTGGCCTGCACATCCCTAGTTACAAAAAAAGTGACATATTTCCTTCCTTTCCTTTCCTTTAGGCCACATAAAACGATAAGTACATATGCCTATTTGCAGGCATATAATGTCAAAAACACATATAATAGGATATAAATTCTGGTTTAGAGACATCAAGAATTGAACTGGCCAAAAACTTATACTCTGTAATTGTAGATGATTGCAGTTTTGCAAGCTCCCCCTAGAATCTTACTGAATATTCTATATCATTAAGCCACAACCAAACAGTCATGTATATAGCTGAATGAATAAGCTCCGAGTCCCATTAAGCTCCTTAAGCTGCTAACAAACAGATCCTTATGAGTTGCATATTATACCTATATTGTCTCTTTCTGTTCTACTAAATTCACTCCCAAATTACATTCAACCAATCTTTTTTAGGCCCAGAAAAATAAATCTACCTGAACACAAATTTATGGCCCATTTTGCAGGCAAAAGCTGGGGCAGGATCTGCAACTCTTTCCATGGTTAGATGCTTTTTAATATTCTCAATATAATGCCAAATATATAAATTTTCTTCTCTTTATTTCATTGTCTGAATAATGTGACTCCGCTTTTAGGCATACGCTGCTGTTAAGTTCGCTGATGCATGCTTGCGAGGTTTAAGAGGCGATGCAGATGTTATCAGATGCGCTTTTGTGCCTTCTGTGGTATGTCTATGCAATTATATATGCATTCATTTTTCCATTTCGGTCGACTTAAGTGACCCATGTGATTCCACTGCTATCTAGAATTCCAATTAAATTGTGAAACCAGATTCAATTGTATTATTTTCCCATTCCAATTATCTTCAGTAGAAAGCAAAGGACCACATTTTCTTGCAGGTCACCGAACTACCATTCTTCGCTTCAAAAGTAAGGCTCGGTCGTAACGGCGTAGAGGAGATATACCCACTTGGGCCCGTTAATGAATTTGAAAGGTCAGCATCCGTTGATGCCTTTATAGTTATGGTTTCTCTCTTTCACACATTTTTCACAAGCCGCAGGTTTCCATAGAAATATTCGCTCTACTCTTTTGGTCCATAGCCAAAGCTAGGGGGTCCGTTGCGCCCATGAAGTTTCCATTTTTTTTTACATCATTAATTATCTTCTATCTATAAATTCTTGTTTTTACCTCCATAAAAAAATTTGACCTCTTTTTTACATTATAAATTTTATTTTTGTACATCTATGCCCTTATTTTTTATACATAAATATCTTGTTTTCTCATTTATATACCTTTTTTTATCCAACCTTTATTTTGTTTTAGACACCAAAATTCTTGGATCCACAAATGGGATATACTTGGTTCGTTTTGTTCATGTAGCTGGTTGGTTTAGAGCTCAATTACTTAACGAATTTGACAGGGCTGGTTTGGAGAAGGCAAAGAAAGAGTTGGCTGCAAGCATAGAAAAGGGCATTTCATTTGCCAACAAATGACGAGCTTGTCCAACAAACTTCCCATGGCCGATTGAGGTGGTTTAAAGGAGGGGTGCCGCTTTCGGCTAGATTTCCTATCCGACACAAAACAGAAGAAATGAGAAAAATAAGTGATCTTTCGTTGAGGTCTAGATTACGTTTGTTTTGATGATTCGTTGTGTTGTGTGTTATAGATGCTCGAAAGTGTTCATCAGAAGTGACGGATGTCGAGTTTACTAAAGGCAAAACGGAGAACGTAACAGTTCTCTTGAAATCTTGGTTAATTATGACGTTAATTTTAATTTAAAAAAGGTCGAGTTATTCAATCCAATTTGAAAGTTTCCATTAGATGTGGGCAAGCGGGTTTGAAGGTCAGGACCATGACTAGTAAGGAGTCTGGAGAAGGGTAAGGTGGGCCAAGCGGGACCATGACTATTGGGACCAGTAAGGACCAATTACTGTCTGATGGTCTGGGATCATTATGAGTTTTACATAAATTCAAGATTTAGGGGTGTTTGGGATTAGGGATGGCAATGGGGCGGAGATGGGGCGGGGACCTCAATGCCCGTCCCCGTCCCCGATCCCCCGTATGTGTCCCCGTCCCCATCCCCGCCGGGGATTATGATCACATCCCCATCCCCGTCCCCAACGGGGAACGGGGATCCCCAACGGGGAAACGGGGATTTTTTTTAAAAACAAAAAATTATTGAAATACACTAATATTAATATAAGACTTAAACAAGACCAAA